AGTAATGTCATTTACATCGCGAAGAATACCATGTCATCTGGAAGGCGAAGTGAAGCGACAAGTGCAAGAGATGTTAAAAGACGATATTATTGAAGAAGCTGATAGCCCGTACAACTCTCCAGTGCTGTTAGTAAAGAAAGCGAATGGGAAGTATAGATTCTGTGTTGACTTTCGACAATTAAACAGTATGACAGAGTTAAAACCGTGTGCCATGCCAACAGTGGTGGAAACTTTAGACCGCCTACAAGGCGCGAATGTGTTTTCCGTTTTCGATCTTCGCTCAGGGTACTGGCAGATACCGATAAAACCAGGTGATAGAGATAAGACGGCATTCAGCGTGGGCCAGACACAATATCGATTTAAACGCATGCCGTTTGGACTAGCAGGTGCACCGTTTACCTTCAGAAGACTGATGACGCTATTACTTAGGAACTTGAAAAACGTGGAAGTGTATGGTGATGATCTCGTGATGTACAGTCAAAATGAAAACGATCATGTGAAGCATGTAGAAGCCGTGCTGCGACGCATCGAAGAGTTTGGACTGCGCATTAACAAAACCAAGTCCCAGATAGCCAGAAAGAATGTTACTCTGTTAGGACATAAAGTAGGAAATGGTGAGATTAAACCACTACCGGAGAAAATTTTGACGGTGAAAACAATTCCAGCCCCGAATTCAAAGAGGAAATTGAGGCAATTCTTGGGTAGAGCGGCGTTTTATAGTCGATTCGTGAAGAACTTCAATGAGATAGCAGCCCCTCTATACAGGCTACTAGGTGAGCCGAAGTTTGTTTGGTCGGAAGAATCGCAGAGGACATTTGACAGAATTAAACACCTGTTCGACCACCAACAAATGACGCTAAAACTACCTGTACCTGGAAGACAGTTTATAGTGTGCACAGATGCCAGTGACTACGCCATAGGTGCGGTCCTAAGACAAGGTGATGGAATCGTTGAGTATGCCAGTCGGGTTTTAACACTCACAGAGAGAAAGTATTCAACGATAGAGAAAGAATGTTTAGCAATGGTATGGGCAGTCGACAAATGGCGACCTTATTTACTCGGTCGGCGGTTCCACATCGAAACTGATCATAAGCCGCTACAATTTTTGAAGACAGCGAGAGACCCACGGGGGAAATTGTCACGGTGGATGTTGCGTCTTCAGGAGTACGATTTTACGATCTCACACGTTCCTGGAAGTGAAAATGTCTTGGCAGATTTGTTATCGAGACCAGAAGATGAGCCTGAGTTGCCCGAGGTCGCTTACGGAGTGCATGCTATAGAACAAGACCCACTAAAACTTGCACGCAAGCAAAGGTTGGATGATACGCTGAATACAGTGATACAGGTGATAACCAACGGGATAGAAGTAGATCAAGCTACGGCGAGTAAGGAGCTAACCACACTACTCAGACAGAGAGATCGACTAAGAGTGAATGCCTACGGGACTCTGACCTGGCGAGAGAACGATGGAAGCTGGCTGGCTATCATACCTCAGTCCTCGCGCCACGACATGATAGAAGAATGTCACCAGCTGGTACATACAGGCGTGGCCAGAACAACTGACCTCCTAAGACAAAGCATGTACTGGCCAGGTATGAGAGAAGACGTAGCAAGATACGTACTTGGATGTCCACGGTGCCAGCTAATGAAAGGCGACCGGTGCATACGACCACCGCTTCAGTCGATTCCAGTCACGGCGATAGGTGACTTGTGGTCCGTAGATGTCATGGGTCCATTTCCTCAGACATCTAATGGTAATCAGTACCTCCTGGTGATGACGGAACACGCGACACAATGGGTAGACGCCGTAGCGATCCCAGATCAACGTGCAAAGACCGTGACAGACGCAGTAGTTAAACACATCGTTGCAGACCACGGCGTACCAAAGACGATACTGACAGACCAAGGTCCCTGTTTCGAGAGTGAAGAATTTACTTCCCGTTTGCAACAGCTGGGCATCAAGAGGATCAGAACGACCCCATATCATCCACAGACGAATGGCCTAACGGAGAGAAACAACCGTACACTGAAGGAGTGGCTGGCCTCGAAGGGCGGTAACTGGGAAACGGAGCTTCCACTGATTTTACTGACGCATCGGGCTACCACTCAGGAAACAACGAAGAAGTCACCCTTTCAACTGATGTATGGTAGAAAACCACGATTACCGATACACAACGAGACCTGGCCCCTTCACCAAAAGTGGAGTACGACGAAATTAAAAGCAGAGCGGAAAGAGGCCGTCAAGAATGTAATACGGAAGCAGCGGAGTGATGTCGCGAAGTCTCAGATGAAAGAAAAGACGCGGTGCATCACCTTTGCAGTCGGGGACCAAGTGAAGTGTAGAGACAGGAGATATACAGTTGGAGGCGGGCCAGGTTCACGGAAACTCCTGCCAAAGTGGGAAGGACCATACACAATCACAAAAAGACGGGGTCAAGTATATACCGTCCGAAGAGGTGACAAACAGAAACGAGTTAATGCCAGTCAGCTCCAACGATGGGTACAGTGGGACAAGCCGATCAGCAACAATCCTCAACTAGAGGATGTAGCACCAAGAAGGTCGGGACGCCTGCGTACGAAGCTATTTGACGGGGGGACGAGTGTGGTGAGAGCAAGCTGCTAGCCAATTGGTAGACATTGATCTACGCTGATTGGTAGAAACTAATCTAGGCTGATTCAACAACCAATCACAGCTGACCTAAACGTGGACAAATATGATTCTCAGACAAGTGGCTCGCATTTCCGAAAAATATCGAAAACGAGAAAGCAGAAGACTGCGTTTGTTTGCAAACAACCAATCAGAAGACCTCCTTCTTTCTGCGGGCAGAAGCCTTATTAATGTACGTAAAATACATATAAATACCTGTTGGTTTTCGTAATAAAACTGATCTGTTGCCAGCCTTGTCTTCTGTTGTTACATTTGTAACAACACCGGAACTTCAAGTTTCTAGCTTGAAGACCTATGTTCCACTGGAAACGTAAAAGACTAAAGAAAAAATCAGATGTCTCCAAACAGTGGTTCCTAGCGCCTCGAAGACTCCAACCAAGCATTCTACACCTCTCTACGCGGCTCCAACCAAAAAAGTTGAGGACTGCATGGATTGATACCAGACTTCTTAATAGACCACACGTAAGTCTCTTCCAACCTATTCTTATGTCAGCCAACAACATAACACACGTCCTTTGACCGACAACCGGATATCACATCTGAGTCAGAGATGACACAGGTCGACAAATGTTAGTCATGTGAGCCTTTTATATCTGTGTTCTCAAACTTTGTCAGCAATCAGTTCATTTGAGTGTGGATGCAACTTCACAAATAGGTGAATTGTTCATCAACACACACACACACAACCACTTCACTCCCCGTACATTTAAACTAAGAGTCAGTGTACACCACTCCTGCATCATCATCTTGTATCTGACATGGGTGAACCGCATGTCCGACATACAAGATTTAGACGACTTTGCACTTTATCGACGTCTTTACCTTAAAGGACTACATCAAATAATACTAACCAGTTGTCTAAACAAAAGTATACCGAAATTTGAACTCAGGATCCACTGGGGTTGACAGTCTAAAGTTAGCTGATCACTTTGGTTTATTTATGCGACATAATGCAATCATACATCGTATTTACTCCATACTGCTCAGATTGTATACTAATGAAATAAATAATAACCGGTAGCTAGTCTACCTCATTTCTCTTACTTCCCTTTTATTAGTTATGCTAATGTTTAGTACAATTCTACTGGTACATGAGAAGAGTTGAAATCACTGTACTCAATGACCTACTGAAGATAAATAAAGCTCTGATATGTGACTTAAAAGTATCAAGAGTACTAATCTGTAAATTGGTATAGTAGAAGATTCCAAAGTGTAGCAGCCTAAATAGTGAAGTAAAAGTTTCTTCGGTTAACTCATAAAAACACTTGATGATTGTTATGAAACAAGAATAGGTGGGGATAAAATAGACTCAATCATACATGTGTAAAACTTGGGCGCTGTGGTAGTAAGTATTTCCATATTGATGTGTTTATTAGATATATCACACAACACCAACAATAAGGAATCTAAATCATCAGTAGTAATTCCATACAAGGAAAGGACCTCGGAAACCTTACGAAGAACTCTTAACAAGGCAGGAATAAAAGTAGCTGGCATTCAAACCCACAAACTCAATTAGAAACAAGCTTTGTCGGTTAAAGGATCCAGCCCGTGGAGCCTTTAAAACAAAACAATTTAGTTTACCTAATACCCTGCTGGAATGATTTTCAGGTCAAATACATAGGTCGAAGTAGTAGAACAGGGGCAGTCAGACGAGCGGTACATAAAAACCTAGCAAAATTTAGATTAGTTGACCCGAATAAGATAGAATAGTCCAGCTATAGCGCTACATGCAATTACACACAACCATAAAAAAGGATGGGTGGGATAAGATGACAGTTTTAAAATCTAATGTAACAGGGTGGGGGGGAGACTGATAACGGAACCTTTACTTGTCGAATAAACTGCAAACACGTGTAATAGGAATGATTCAACACCTGTTCAGTTGGACATCTGGAAAATTCTACTACCCCAACGGCGACAAATAGGAGAGAGGAAAGAAAACTATGAAACTCAGGTTTCGAAGTCGTGTGATTATAATTGATACGATTATGAACAATAATAGATTGTGTTCGAAACCTTGTCATTCAGTAAATAATACTGTTTCCCTGTGTGATACATCTAATAAACAAACTAATATGGAATTATTAACTCCATCAGTTTATGGTATAAATCTTTGCGACGACGAATAACCACATTGATGTATTACAATCCCCTGTACGAATTCTTGTGTATCACATAACTTTGTAATGTTAGATACTAGTACATTTTTGCCTCAAAATCGAAATAAGCGCCAACTTGCATTGATTTAATTAAAACAAAAGTATTAAAGAGACATTGAACATTGTATGTAACACCAAGCATTCTACAATAAACAAACAACAAAACTTACATCGGGTTCATTATATCCACTATACTCTTCAATAGGCGGATCTAAAAACCGACATAATGCCATTTCAAATTCGGATTCCACCATTTTATGCACAAAATTTGATATACCATTTAATTGAGCATTGAAATCCCGTAAACAAATAAGTGTATTTGATGTTTTACTATTCAATCTATTTGTTACACCGTCTGAAGGTGTATTCTTGTTAACCATTTGCTTTGTGTTATTCGATGTATCCATCATTAAATGCGTGTGAAGTAATTCTTTTGTTGTGCTAACCAAATCCAATGCAGCACAAAAATCATTATTTCTCAGTAAAGTTTGGATAGTTGGCTGAGCAGCTTGAAGACTGGCTATTAATTTTAACTGGACAAGAAAGAAAAATAAATCGAAACTAGAAAAAATTGACTTCAATACGTCGGCTTATGATTATGACATAGTTTTCATCGCATATATCTCACGTAAAAATATGTGGTCACGAAATCTGGTCGTCTTACACATAATTCTGTAGACTGAATCTAACTACTTAAAAATAATATAAGTCGATACACAGAATCATATAAAGGAGGAAGAAAAAGATAACCAGGGGATGTACTGGACAGCTGTTTCGTCCTAGATTGGGACTCTTCATCAGCATGCGGGGTTTGAACTCAAGAGCTTCATCCACTGGGAACCGATCCAATGGCTCTCACTAACTTTTGGTTCTAGGTCATTAACAGCCTTTACTCCTGTATCTACAGTTAAATGTATATTGTGCCAACAAATTTTTATGTTCATTTATTCATAATCATAAACATGCGCGAGCCAGGGTGTGATTGGAGTCTACGCACGTGTTCCAGAAGAAGCGTTAGTCTTCTGCTGACCCTCACCAAAGATAGTCTATCGCTATGCAGTCTATTTAAGTCCAACGTTGATTTGGTGATGGACTAGGGTCGCTTACAACATTTATACTTATTTGGATATTTTAACTAACTTTGTAATTATGACCCATTTTTCTCCTAGACTGTAGTATGTCATTGTTCTGAAATTTACATACCACAAAATGGAATGGGATTTCAAACAGAAAATTAACAGATTCATTGATCATAAGTATGACAGTGTGAAACAGTTCTCATGATACGATCTGGATGCCTACTACTGTGGTGAGAGCTGGCTGCTAGCCAAAGTTGGTAGACAGTAATTGACGTCAATGTTTATGCCCCCAATATTGCTGGTGAGAAAATGAGAACAAAGGCTTTGTGTAGGCGGATACAGTTAGCATATGGATGATCTGACACAGCCACAAAGAGATGCAAGGTTAACTTTCTGTGAGAAACAACCAATTAAAAGACTTTATTTTCTACTAACAATAATCTACAATAATGTACATTAAAATCTATAAATATGTGTTGATTTTCCTTAATAAACGATCTGTTGCCTGACTCTTGCCTTTCTGTCGTTACACTACTATTAAGATGGTGAAGAGTAGTACGAAAATCAAGTGTCTAAACGGACGAACCATAACTTTCCTAGCTATAAACAGTTTGAAATTTAACCAGGCATTAGGGCATTAGAGATAAGGGAGAATACAGAATTTATGCACTATTCAAATAGATAGATATACTTCAAATGTATTCTATGTGAATGAAATAAATAGAAAAATTGACGAAAAAAGACTACTTACCTTATCCACTAACAGTCGATAGTTTTCACGTCTTCGAACGACACGCAATAACTTAAGTTTATCACTAGTATTCATAACATCGATTTGATGTAATTTATGTCTAAGGTACACACAAAGATAATAAGCACAGATACTTTATAATAATATACATCAACCTGTTGACATAATTAAAATGCATGAAAAAAAAGAAGTGTATACACAAACAATTGGATAGTAAGACAGTCATCACGACTAACAAAAACAAAAACCATTTTCTACAATGAAACTATTACTGCTCATGATTACGGCTGGGTGTCAGTTGGAGAACCATTGAAAACCACCAGGCAGTACTACTGGACAACTGTTTCACTCAAGTTTAAGACTCTTCAGCATCCTCTCCAGCCTACGACCCGATCTCCTCAGGGATCAAAACCCAGGACTTTCAGGTAACGAGGCCAAGATAGTCAACCAGTCAGTCAATTAAGCAGGAATCCCATGGTCCTTGAATTCTAATTTCCCCTCAATTCGCGATTTTAGTGCAACTGTCAGCAAATGTCACTTTTCCTCACAAACAATCTAGTGTGTACTCCACTGGTTACCACTTATCACTAGAACTTCAAGCAACTTTGTCATTGTAGGAGCCAGTAGTCACCAGTGAACATCTAATTAATTTTTAAGAGTTTTTTTAAGGTTACTTATTCGTGAATAAACAAATGTCTGTCTGTCTGTATTCGACATAGAACTTTGCACAAACATGCAGCAGTTCAAGTCGTCACACTCCATGTAGAACACAAAGCATGAGAAGAAAGCAGAAAAGAAATGAATAATATAGACAGTAAACAGAGATGAGAGACAAAGGAATAGTAGTAACGAAGAACAATATAGTTTCATTGGAAATTATAAGTCACAAGGAGTAGATGCATCTGCGACAGCCATTGACAACGATTTTGAGCCATATCACCAATTGTTTCCAACCACTGGTTTTTACCGTCCCGAGGACCCCAACCAGGAAGCCAGTCTACATCTTCCTACGTGGTTTAAACTAACTGTTGTGGATTTCATTGACTGATGAAGCCATGTTTTGGTTTGACCACCGCTAGCTCTTTTCCAGCCTGACCCTATGTCAGCTAACATTACCCGTCGAGGAAGGCGATGGTTCTAACCATCTCACTCAATCGTTGTAACTTTACAACCTCGTCAATTGATTTCCCCCCATTACCTAGAACTCAACGCCTCACCTCACTATTGCTCACCTTATTATACCACTTCCCAAGGGAGATAGAACGCAGGCACCTATGATCAAAGACAGCTAATCTTTTCATGTCTTCCACTCTTAATGGCCACGTCTCACTGGCAGCCATAAAGGAGGAAGGAGCGGACTGATGAGCAGTACACACGCCCTTTGGGCGATATCCAGTGGGATATCACGTCTACGACAGAGACGGCTAAAACTGGCACATGCGAAACTAGCCCTCTGTATCCGTGCTGAGATTTCGTCAGAGATCAACCCGTTGGGGCTGATGGTACTTCCCAAATAAGTGAAACGGTCAACGTGCTCTACCACTTCACCAAATAAATGCGTAAATACCGTTGAAAAGAAAGCCATCTTAATACTAATAACTTCTGTGTTTACTAAAAGATTTAAATTCAAATAGTTAATGCCAACGAAAAATGCGGCAAGTGAATTCACTGTACAATATTCCACTAGTGATGCCTATAAAACGATTTGATAGTTACAACATTTAAAAATTATTGTTATTATTCCTTCCTTGAGTTCCGAGTGGAAACTGGGGAATCGGCTTAATATCATCTTCGTCATGTCACCCTTAGACGGAAAACTCATTGCTTCCCAATCCAGTTCCACTGGAGGGCCTACCTGACACATGTTCTGTCACTCAACGGTTCTCTCAGCATGTGATCCAATCAATCTAAATTCCCTACCCCATATGCATAAAACAATAGGTTGTTGGCTGATTTGCTGCCTAGCAGACATACTTGTTACTTATCCTTTTTACCGTCTATCTGATCTTTACTATCAAATGATGGTGGCTGTTGATAAAAGTATGCCGTCTGTTGAAGCTGTGCAATTGCATCGAACATAGAACTTTACACACTAGTGCACTAGATTAACTTCCTACACTCCATGTATTACACAAAGGAAGACAAAAGAGAGAAAAAAAATACATGGATATGACGGATCACAGAAATTGAATGCATCTGTGACACTGAGAACGATTTTGAGCAATATCATCAATTGTCTCCAGCCTTTATTGGTTCTTATTATGCCAAGGACCCCAACAACGAAGTCTACACCTCCGTACCTCGCTCAAACTAAGTGTTATGGATATCATGGACTAATGCTCTGTTTTCCTCTGACCACCACTAACTCTTTACCAACCTAATCCTAGATCAGGTAACATTGCCCATTGATGAAGGCGATGGCTAATCGTCCGCAAAACATGTCCTAGCCATCCCGATAGACGTAGCTTTACAACCTCATATTTGACTTTCTCTCCTTACCCAACACTCGATGCCTAACCTCAATATTACTTACCTTATTATACCACCTAACATGGGAGACAGAACGCAGATATCTATGGTCAAATACACCAAGTTTTTTTGGTATCTTCCACTTTCAATAGCCATCTCTCAAATTCATGATGATAAAGAAGGATGAGGACCAAACTGGTGAGAAGTACACATGCGTGATTTGATCGACAGTCATCCGGATATCACGTCTACGCCCGAGATGATGCAGCTTGGCAAATACCACAAAAACCTTTTGTATCCGTGCTGAGATTTTGTCAGCGATCAGCCAGTTCATGGGGGTTGATGCAACCTCCCAAATAAGTGAAGTGGTCAACATGCTCAGTCACCACTACAATTCTGCCTATCTTTAAGCCAATTAGGAGTCGATGTCTGTCCGTTTTCAACATAGAACTTTGCACATATGTGCAGTGGTTCAAATAGCCACACTCCCTCCTTGTACCACACAAAGCAAAAGAACAAAGTAGAAGAAATGCATAATATAGACAGTAAACAGGGATATGAGACAAAAGGAATAGTAATAACGAAGAACAACATAGTTTCATTGGAAAGTATAAGTCATAAGGAGTAGATGCATCTGCGACAGCCATTGACAACGATTTTGAGCCATATCACCCATTGACTCCAGCCATTGGTTTTCACCGTCCCGAGGACCTCAACCAGGAAGCCAGTCTACATCTTCCTACGTGGCTTAAACCAACTGTTGTGGATTTCATACATTTGTTCCCCTTAATGAATTTGAACAAAGCAACAAGTACAGTTTTAGCAGAATGAAATGGTACCATATTTTATTTCGTCGCCTTCTCTTCAGCTGCTTACAGGGCAAAAACATTATTAAATGTATCTACAAAAACAATTTAACATACTTGCACAGAGTTCATATTAAACAGAAATCAATCGATCAACAATAATTTGTATATGTTGTGGATTTCATTGACTGATGAAGCCATGTTTTGGTTTGACCACCGCTAGCTCTTTTCCAGCCTGACCCTACGTCAGCTAAAATTCCCCATCGAGGAAGGCGATGACTAGGCATACGTAGCACATGTCCTAACCATCTCAGTCGATGTAGCTTCACAGTCTCGTCAACTGATTTCCCCGCCTTACCTAGCACTCGACGCCTAACCTCAGTATTGCTCACCTTATTATACCACTTCACACAGGAGATAGAACCTATGATCAAAAACAGCTAGCCAGCCTTCTCAGGTCTTCCACTTTCAAAGGCCAGGTCTTACAGCCATAATAAAGGAGGACGGAGAGGACTGTTGAGCAGTACAAATGCCCTTTGGTCGATAGCAAGATATTACGTCTATACCAGAGATGGCATAAACTGACATATGCGAAACTAGACCTCTGTATCCATACTGAGATTTCGTCAGCAACCAACCCGTTGGCACTGGCTAATGCAACTTCCCAAATGAGTGAAGTGGTCAACGTCCTCCACCACTTCACTCCGTATTTCTAAGCTAGGAGTCAATGTAGTCCAGTCCTGTACCATCTTCGTACATTTGACAAAGGGAGAGCATTGCATGCCAAACATTCGCAGATTGCAGCTCAAGGTGTTTAGAAGACTCTGCATTTTGTCAGCATCTTCACCTACAAGGACTATGTCATCCACGTGCATATTCTAAGTCAACGAGATTACTACCTGGTAACAAGTCAATCCCTGAGTCTTTGAAGTTAGTTAGAATTAATTCTATTGGTACATTTTGATGAAATTGAAGAGAAACGGGTATAGTGGGCATCCTTGACGGACACCACTAGTTGTCCCCACTTCAGATGACAACTCTGAGTAGGCTCTCACCTGGCTGACGGCATGAGTTTGAGTAGATTGAGTGCCTTGATCACTGTGATGTATTTTCTCGACATTCCCTTCCACAGCCAAACATCACCATAGTACCCCTAAGTCGACGAAATAGAATGCTGTCTTCAGGTCAAGAAATGTGACGATTGTTGGACGCCACCGGTAAGTATGCCTATGATCCAGAATCTGTCGAAGGGTGAAAATATGATCAATACATCCCTTTCCTGGTTCTATCGTGTTTGTGACTCCCGAAAACCGCTTAGTCTACGCATGATTATTCAGCCTAGAACTTTAGATACCATATTAGTCATCCTAATCCCCCTGTGATTAACACAGGAAGACTTGTCTCTCTTCTTGTATATCGGGATAATCAATGACTTACACCAACCGAATGGGACTTCCTCTGATTTCCAGACGCTGCCTAGTACCGTAGTTAACGTAGACAGTAAATTGTCTCCACTGTACTCAAATACCTCTGGAGTCATTCCATTAGGTCCTGCTGCTTTGCCTCGTTTCAGAGTAGTGACAGCCTTAGTAAGCTCAGTTAGGGACGGAGGACCTGTGTCTATATCCCATTCAGGGAGATGTAGGATGTTCAGTAAGTTGAGCGTGGCTGTAGGCCAATTAAACTGCTCCTCGTAGTGTTATTTCTAACATTCCAGTTGTCTATCGTGGGAGCTAATTATAGTGACATTTTCCTCAGAGATTGTTTCACTTATCTTTTGTCTCTTACCACCTGTTTCCCTGATTAGTCTACATAGTTATCAGGT